TTTTGGTGGGATGGGGATGCGAACCCGCGACCGTCAGATTGCGAATCGAGCGTCCTAACCACCTGGCCATGCCGGGCCTAAAGTATAAGAACAACAAGACCAGACAATTCGTAACCGCGAGTACAAGTCTAAGAATGAAGAAAACAAAAAAGCATCCATTCTGAAGAAAATAATTCATAGGAAGGATCCAGTTTTAGTGTGGATTCCACAGATGTCTGTTCAATGTTTATTACTATTATTCTTACTATGGCGTTTTCCTGTAATCAACTTAAATGAAACGCAGGCATATGTTTACGATTTTATGAATAACCACAAATTCAATCCAATATCTTGGTAGTAATTTTGATTTAGAAAATATAATCAGGGGGCGCTCAGAAACTGTTGTTTCTTTTAAATAAAGCTGTCTGCCTATCAACCGATCTGCGATCAACGTTATCATTTTTAAAGAACATAAACAATGAAACTTCCGTTTCGGCTTTTTTTTTTTTGTCGCATCATACATATATTTCTATTACCATTTCGCTTAAAAATATGATTGTCATTAACATGATTTTTAAATGCTTTTCAATGTAACACATAAAGAATATATCTCTCCCTATACATTTATAGCTTTACAATCGAGAACAGGTTTTGCTGTGTGCATGCCCGATATTTTCAAAGTAGACTTAACCCTTTTGGCCAGATACACTTCCTTGTCGTAACGAATGGTAGAGAGAGGTCTGTTTGATGAATTGTTAAAAACAATGTTTATATTCTTGGTTTTTACTTTTCTGATAACTGGTGATACCAGCTGGTTATTATACATTTTGTTTCTACAGTCCATTGTGACTGTATACAACATGTATGTTATACTGGAGCAACAATGGGGTGACCTGTTCATTGTCGTAAAGCATACACAGTGATACCTTTATCCCAGAAATGCAAATCGACACATCTTGTTTCTGTTGTGTACTTTTAACAATACGCAGTAACATATCCTATTTATTTGAGTTCCTTATATGACATATTAACTCATCCTGTCTACCCGATGTGCTTTAAACAATATACAATGATAAATTTGTATTAATTAAGTGTTAATGTGATGTTCTTTAAAGGTTTCACCCTGATGCATCTGGCTTATCTGATGTACTTTAAACGGTACGCAATAACACATCTTAATTACCTATTGTGCTTTATACAGCACACAATAACACAACATGTTGTGTTATTGTGTGTCATTTACAGTACGTCAGGTAATCATGTTGTGTTATTGCAGAGAGTGTTTTATCTTTTTATTGCTTTTAACTTTATATAAGAAATCATTGTGCATTTTCAAACGTTGCAGTCGTCAACTTATTCTTCCATTACATCTTTGCACAAGAACTGTCAGTCTAATATATTGATCAGATAATCATGTTGTGTTATTGTGTGTCATTTACAGTACGTCAGGTAATCATGTTGTGTTATTGCAGAGAGTGTTTTATCTTTTTATTGCTTTTAACTTTATATAAGAAATCATTGTGCATTTTCAAACGTTGCAGTCGTCAACTTATTCTTCCATTACATCTTTGCACAAGAACTGTCAGTCTAATATATTGATCAGATAATCATGATTACCTGACGTACTGTAAATGACACACAATAACACAACATGATTACCTGACGTACTGTAAATGACACACAATAACACAAC